AGACACCCAGCCCCATGTGCCTGCGCATTACAACAGCATCTAAGGCTGTTCCTAAGAATTAGGCTGCCAACGGCCAAGTCCTTTATCTGCTCTTCTTGTTTTCTTTATCAGTATTGTTTTTGCCGCAAGCTTGGAATCGCGTATTTCGTTGATGAACGACATCTGAAGGAGGAAATATGAACACTCCAGATAGACCAGATCAAAGTTGCATCCAGTCCACACATCCTGTTCCTCAAGGTAGCCAGCAAAATCCATCCCAGGGAGAGGAGCCAACCCCCAGCAAGACTTTCCACAGGTATGCTATGGGATGGAAGTTTCCAGTTCTCCACATTTTGCAGCAAATTGCATAATGGTGTTGTTTTTAAAAATCCTCATGGAAATTCATCAGTAAATGCCTCCTAACTAACACATTTTTATATGAAGTGTAAACATTTGTGCACAAAGTGCACGCAATCAAATTTCCCACATATAATGGATTTTGGTACGCTATTTTCACTAAAATCCTCATTTTTTACACACACCGTCCCCAATGCAGGCATTGTTTTGCAAATGTTGGCTGGGGAACTGCATCAAAATGATCAGAAATGTGCAAACGCTGGAGGGTAGCTGTGTTTCGATTCACATATTCCATCCGAAAGTGCAAATGTGATGGATTCAGCTTTAAATGTGAACTGAAGTGACATCCTCCTCCATCCTTTAGGTATGACACCACTATCAGTATCGCTAAAAACGTCAATAAATCTTACAAATTGGAAATTCGGACTTTTAGTATAGGCATGCACACATGAAAAGGCACCAAGTGCCTGTGAGCTTTGATGGGTAGAGGGACTTATTTATTTAGGAGGAGGGGGCAGGGTGGCATATATATTAAAGTGGGGGGGATGTTGAGGGTTCTGGGTTTTTTTCCATGTACTGGAAAAATGTATAGTAACTATTAACTAAATTCCCAGGTGTCAAAAAAGGTTATTTATGTATGCTACTACTGTGGCCGGTGTTTTGTTAGCCCAAAAATGGAAAACGAGCGAGGTCCCAACTAAAGAAGAATGGCAACTTAAGTTGACAGAATATGCACAACTCGCAGACTTAACATATAGAATAAGAGAACGATAACATATGTTTAAAGAAGACTGGAAAACGTTTATTGAATATATGGGAAATAACTGTGTGCAGCTGAAAATGCTGGTGGCATTAAGATAAATTCAACAGTGTAAATAAGCTTTGATGGATGCAATAATGGAAAACCGATTGGCAGAGTATTTTGTAAAATATGCAGGGATATAAGATATGCAAAATGAACCATGGAAAGAGAAGAAGGGAAATCATTGATTTCTTAAGGATGTAAAATGAGTATCTTAAATTGTAAAACAGAAAACTTAATAAAAACTATTAATAACCAAGATGCAAAAACCATGCACACACATACCCTGATGTTCATTTGGGTGCATAGCTCTTCTGATGAGCAACAAAATAGTTGACCAGCATGACATTCAGCGAAAAGCTCTCCACTACCATTTGTTTCACAGCAACGCAACTCAGGGCAGGGTAAAGAGGGCGCCCATGTACTTTCCTACACAGGTGCTTACCAGACCCAGGCCTGTTCAGCTTCAGCAAGGTTGCTGCCTTGCATGTATTCAAGACCCGGGTGGACTAGAAGCCAGAGAGCCTCTGGGGTTCGTGGGTTATTATTCTAGGACGATGCTGCTGACTCAGTACTGCGTTCTCACAACATAAAAGACAGACTCCCAAGCTCTGTTCAAAGACTTAATTTGTCCTTAGCAAAGCAGGACAGGAGGCCTGGCAATACATTAATTAAGACTCGGCTTTTTTCCATACACATAAAGGTCAACCCCGGGGGGAGATGCGGCCAGCTATTCATTACCACGTACCAAATGTGAAGTCCACATACCCTTGACAGATACATCATCTTCTCCAGTGATGATAGTGCAATAATAATAATAAAATTAATCACTTCCTTAATTATCACGAGCTTCCATAACACATTAGCCATCATAACCCTGCCCCGGGCCATCACAGCATGAGAAAGACTCTAATATTTATTTAGAACACCAGTCAATTTTTAGTTTCACTCATTTAAATTTATTATCTTTTTCATCCCTTCTGTCAAGGCAGCTTACAAATAAAAGGCAAATAATAAATTTCATTGACTTGATAATATTGTAAGCAGTCCGTTCCCACATAACTAACATCTTCCAGCTTCTTCAATCTGATCTCTTATTGTGAAAAGTCCATATCCATTGGCGAGATTCTCAAGGATTCTGCTTCCGCGGGTGAGAGCCAGAGTGATGTTTTCCTTTCTAACAGGTTTTTGTATCTATCCCATACTCTAAACAAATTCTTCCTGACTACATGATTCAAGAAGCTCTTATATATTTCAGCTTTAGACATGCATGCCAGCCAAATTTTATATTGTCCTTCAAGATCTAAAATGCATGCATTCTTCAACATTATCCACTACTTTAACCTTGTTTAAAGTTGACAAGAAAAATGGGTTTCTGACACAAAGTTCACAATTTGAAAGTTAGCTTATAGAATCATCAGGAAAGTTAATTTCCAGGATGCATAAATTATTGTTGGAGTGGGAGACAAAGGACGAGGTGGTTAAGTCAGCTTAACTAGGTGAGAGACATAGGACATAACAGAGAATTGAGTGCGTGGGAAAGGTTGTGGAAAAGGAATTAAAATTTACAGCATGTTATACCCTTAACAGGCAACCAGTCCAACAGACCACTGTAAACTGTTTGGGTGGCAAAGCCAAAGCGCCCAGTGGAGGCCTGAGAACCTTAAGGACATACCAGGACCTTTCCCTGAATGTTCAGCTTTCATTGAAAATAGAAAAGGAAGAATCTGTCCCTTTTGTTTATGATGGTGAAAATTACAATAGGGGAGTATTTCTATCCCATCCTTTGCTGAGAAGCAATTCAATTAAGGAACTCTAAACTACCTGTTCTATCTGTTCTACAGCGATATCTTGCAACATCTTCGTCTCCGAGTTGCTGGGTTGTCAGCCAAACAGAAAGTACCTGGAGTCACACCCACCTGCTTAGTGGGGTTAGTCTGGAACCAGTTTATCGAGACCGAAACACTTCATCTAAATGGGTCTTCAAGTCACATGACGGAGCACAAGTGGTCAGCCCACATCATGTGAGCCTGTACAAGAGCCTCTCTTGGAAAAGGCAGAGAAGAAGAAGAGGAGGAGTTTGGATTTGATATCCCACTTTATCACTACCCGAAGGAGTCTCAAAGCAGCTAACATTCTCCTTTCCCTTCCTCCCCCACAACGAAGACTCTGTGAGGTGAGTGAGGCTGAGAGACTTCAGAGAAGTGTGACTAGCCCAAGGTGGAGGAGCGGGGACGCGAACCTGGTTCACCAGATTACGAGTCTACCGTTCTTAACCACTACACCACACTGGCTCTCAGAGAAGAGAGCAACTAGAACAGGCATAGGCAAACTCAGCCCTCCAGAAGTTTTGGGACTACAACTCCCATCATCCCTGACCACTGGTCCTGTTAGCTAGGGATGATGGGAGTTGTAGTCCCAAAACATCTGGAGGGCCGAGTTTGCCTATGCCTGAACTAGAGACTGCAGCCCAATGCACACTTACACGAGAGTAAGCCCCAATGATGCCCAGAGGGGCTTATTTCTGAGCAAACATGCGCAGGATTGCACTTTTGAACGATTCAACTCATACAACAGATACAAGTGGCGGACACTTCCATGGAAAACCTACAAGGGCAATTGCATTAAAGATCAATCTCAGAGGTTAACTTGGGAGTTTGGCAGATGTGGCATTTTTTTGTGTGCACTGGGCAAAATTTGTTTTTGGGGGTTGCCAGGCCTCCACTGTTGGTGGTGGGAGGGCAGACACGACGGGGCATAGATTCCCTCAATGATGAAGCCCGAGTAAAAGTGCACAGTTGCATGCTGTGTCTGTACCGCTATGCAACATGCAAAGCAGAGGAGTCTCCCAGGACTTTTATCTGCTTAGCCTCGCTGGGCATAGTGAGGCAAGCAAGCTTCTGTCAATATTTATAAATGCAGCTGGTCGCCAATCTGCAAGGCCAGTTTGCAAACATCAATGTTGCGCATGCAAATTGTCAGAAAGCACCGCCTTCCCCTGGCCCTGAGCTTTGGACGGCAGCCATTGCACAATGCCTATAAAAACCCTCTTCAACGGCTCACGTTAGATAAACAGGCGGCAGCAGCACTGCAGGAAACACCGTTGGTCCAGCCAATTCTGGCACAGAAAGTCCATGGTTGGTTTGGCTTAAAAGCAAAACACGCATCTACATAGGGAGAAAGGAACTCTTTTATACCAGGTGAGACTATTTGTCCATCTACCTTGACAGGCAGATTCACCCCAGGAGACAGGACTTTCCCATCACCCTTTTTGTCCAAGATCCCTTTCACTGAAGGTGCCAGGAATTAGAACAGGGACTCTTTGTATGCAAAATACTTACTCTACCCACTGAAATAATAGGAAATGTGTCTGGTCTTTTCTCCCATTTCCTGATCAAAACTGTCTTACTCCCCAAGCTACTAGCGCCACTTTGGTGGTTGGGGGAGAATACGGACACAAAGCAGGCACTGGGTTGGCTCAATGGAGCTGATAGCAGAGATTGGGGGGGGGGGTTGATCATGAAGAGAAAACTGGTTGAGACCCCTTGCCATGCCATTGCTCCAGTCAAAATCAGAGGTTGTCTTCAAGGGGGAGACTCCATCCAACCGTTTTGTCCCCAAAAGCACAAAGAAATATATGGCCTGTATAGGCAAAGAAAGTTGTGTCTATGGGTCAGCTTCTCAATTGTTGCAGTGAATTGGGGAATTAATCCAGCAGCAAATTTAGAATACAGTGGTACCTGGGGTTAAGAACTTAATTCATTCTGGAGGTCCGTTCTTAACCTGAAGTACCACTTTAGCTAATGGGGCCTCCTGCTGCCGCCGCACGATTTCTGTTCTCATCCTGAAGCAAAGTTCTTAACCTGAGGTGCTATTTCTGGGTTAGTGGAGTCTGTAACCTGAAGCGTCTGTAACCTGAAGCGTATGTAACCCGAGGTACCACTGTATACCAAGGGCATCTTTTGGCTTCTCCTAGTTAAGGCAAAGCAGCAGCTCTTCCAAGAGGAGCTGGGTGGGGTGATAGGGCAATGATGATCCTTTTGCCCCCACAAGCTCAGTGTGGATCAGTGAGGGTCCTCAGTCAGGGGTTCAAGCCACCCAGGATTTGGCTGGTGGAGGGGAAAAGGCACTGTATGCTTCAGGGCAAAGAACCCATTCTCCCTGGAATTCCCTGCCGTCTTCAGCTATGCCATCCCTGCAGTCTGGGAACCAAAGATTGAAGGCAAGAAATCACCCTCCACTGTTCCATCTAACTCCAATTGGTCATGGCTCTCTCAAGGCCACCCCTGCCCTGCCAACTTGAGAAACCAGAGGCTCTTTCTGGGCGCAAAGTTTGTGCTCCGTCTCCGAGAGATGATGACCTATGGTGAATCTCATGCCCTTAACCCCAGCCCTCCATCCCCACGCAGGAAGTAGTGTCCCTGCGACAAGCTGGAAGGCAAGGTGGGAAAACTACAAAGAGCTTTTTATCTGTAGGAAACTGACAACGGTCCAATGTTTCTCTTGCGCGTAGCAGTTCAAAGTTTGCCCTTCATGTACGTTTTGTACCAGGCGCCCCTGTTTGTGCGGAACGTGCTTTGGTTTTAAATGCACTCTGAGGACACGAGAGCAAACTCTGCTGTGTTTATGTGACAGGCCACTGACCAGGCAGGCCAGTCCACCGACCCCACCTGACATTGGCCCACCGGCAGGGATCAAAGGGATAGAGACGGGCCTGGAATGGATCTCCTCCCACCATCCAGTCCCGGACTGCACCACCACAACGCTTGTGTAACAAAGCTGTTAATCAATTGTGAGTGTTTGTTTAGCCCGTTTCTCAGCAAAGAAATTCCCAGGCCATTGCCCACCCCAACCCTGAATCAAGGTGCCGAAAGCACTACACAGCGGTAGCGAACCTGACAAGACCTCTCCTGCAGAGGGTCTGTTTCCTTGTGTCTTTGATGTCAGCATTCCTGAGCGTCAGAGGACATGGGGAGCAGCAAAAGCTAAAGTCATAGGGCCCCTAAGCAGACATACTGATGGAAGCCAAGCGCCAGGAAAGTTGTGAAACAGCTCCCATTCTAATCCCTGTGAAATCCCTGGTGCAAAGGCTACACCTAAGAAACCGTTATGAACCTCTACTACAGCTGCTCTCCTGACTTTTTATGAACACCGTCTCTTGTCTGCAAGGTAAATGCCACACCATTAAAACCGCCCGGCATATTGTGAGTTTACAACTCCCTCTTCAAGCTGGAACAAGCATTGGGGTTGCACGAAAGGGATGACAGAGGATCCCCCCCCCAAATCAAAACTCTCAAGTTCAAGTGCAGGAGGTCTCCAACCATGCAGAGACAGAGATGCCAGTAAGGACTGGATCCAGTTTGTGTGGTCTTCACTTTCCCTCCCTGCTCTTTCTACCTTCACAGTCCCAGAAGGAGAAAGAAATGCTGTCCGTTCTTGGGGATCAGCTGTGTGCCGACAGGCCCCGCTCCGACAGGATTGCCTTTACTTTCGCCACAATGGTTGGCACTTCTGCCATGGCGCCACGACCTGTAAAGCGAGGACAGAAGCAGGGTGAGGCCAGCTCCTTCACAGGGAGAGATGGTCCTCTCCTCCAGCTCTGATCTCCAAGGCTGAATACGCCTTCCTTTTGACCAGGGATGGGCAACCATGGCCCTCGAGATGTTGCTGAACTCCAACTCCCATCAACCCAGCCACAGCATGGCTAATCATCAAGGATGATGGGAGCCAGGGGCGTCCAACAACAACTGAAGGACCACCTTTGAAATGATTAATCAGATAATCGAACTGATGGTGGTGGTGATGATGATGATTAATTGAGCTTATATACCGCCCTATACCTGGAGGTCTCAGGGCGGTTCACAGAAAAGATTGCAACATATACAATCAGAATAAAAACAACAACCAAATAACATGCCCCCACCAAAAAAAACCCCACGTTTTAAAAGGGCATAGGATCAAATCAACCAAAGGCCTGGTTAAAAAGGAACATTTTTGCCTGGCACCTAAAGGTGTATAATAAAGGCGCCAGGCGAACTTCCTTGGGCAGAGCATTGTACAGACGGGGAGCCACTACAGAGAAGACCCCGTTCTCATGTGGCTATCCTCTGGATCACTCAGAGAGGCGGCACACAAAGAAGGGCCTCAGAAGATGATTTCAGGGTCTGTGTGGGTTCATATGGAAAGAGGCAGTCCTTGAGAAATTGCGGTCCTGAGCCGTTTAAGGCTTTATAGGGCAAAACCAGCACTTTGAATTCGACCCAGTAGCTTAATTGGTAGGCAGTGCAGTCGGACCAGGATAAGTTTAATATGCTCCAACCATCTTGCTCCAGTGACTGGCAGTGCAATCTTAGACATGTCTGCTCTGCGGGGTTCAAGGGGACTTACTCAGAGGTAAATATTGGAAGCTTTCTTCAAAAGAATGTGTAGCAATTTCTGGATGTTCCCGGAGTGACTCAAAGGAGCCCAGCAGCATCTTTGAAACGCAGCATGGGAACCAGCCCACAGGGGCAGGGTTGCGTACCTCCGGCCATCCCCATAATTTCATTTAAAGGGAAGAAAGGACGAAGGGAAAGCGAGCTGGCTATCTACCAACCTTCGTCTCCACAGATGAGTTTCTTCACGATGCAAGGAATCTCCACGTAGCCGAAGCTCTTGAGCTGATCCACCTGCTGAGCAGTGATGGGGTGCTCCCACATGGCGGTGTTCATGGCGGGGCAGAAGAGCAGCGGCTTGCTCAGATCCCAGGCGCGGATGACGCATGTCTGCAAAGGCAGGCAAAGCATTGGACAGCCTCTCTTGCCACATGGGTAGTGCATCTGCACAAATGCAAGCAAGGAAGGAATGGCCCATCCCAGTCCTTGGCTGACAAACTAGAAACGACCACAGATGAGTCATGCTACTGTTCGCTGGGGCTTCGGGGCCCAAAGACCCCCAAAGCGATAAGCAGCGTATTAATAAATTGGCTCACGACAATAGCTGAAAACAATTCATAATGGGGGTGGGAGAGAAACAGCAAAACAAGAATGAAATATGAAAGGTGAGTTGAGTATCTGAATGCAGCCAAGAAGGAAGTAACAGAGCTTAGTTGGGACATATCTCACTGAAAAGCTTGAGAAATTAAAGCAAAGTTTTCGACTGGCGTCTAAAAGCCAACAAATGTAGGCACCTGGGACATGGCAGTCCCAGAGCTTGGGTGTCACCACAGAAAAGGCCCTGTCCTGAATAGCCCCCACCCCAGAGTTGTCTTCATCTTAGTGTGACTCAGAGTAGACCCGCTGAAAACAATGGTGTTAGCCATGTCCATTAATTTCAACGTGTTGAAACGTGGTGTTAGCCATGTCCATTAATTTCAACGTGTGTATCCTGAGGATGACGAACGCTGGATACAACCAAAGTGCAGGCATGGTCATATGGGAAAAGGTGATCCTTCTGATTCCCTGGTCCCAGACCATTTGGAGCAGCCTTCCCCAACCAGGTGCCCTCCAGATGCTTTGAACTATGACTCTCATCAGCCCAAGCCGGCGCAACTGTGCTGGCTGGTACTGATGGGAGTTGAAGACCAAAACATCTGGAGAGCAGATGTTGGGGAAGGCAGGCTTGGGGCTTTTAAGGGTCAAAACAAGAACTTGGAAGTATTGCCTAGAAACATGGTATTAAACTCACAGGATGGAATTCAACTACACTAGACCTACTGAAATTAATGGCTCTAACTTAGCAACGTTCATTCATTTCAGTGGATCTACTTGGAGTCAAACTTAGCTGAACACTACTCATAACCATCATGTAATCATTAATACCTGAAAGATCGTCTCACCGAATATATACCCAATTGATCGCTGCTCTCTGGAGAAGAGGGTCTCCTGCAGATTCCATCTAATCAGGAAGTGCTTTCCACACAATGTAGGAACTGGGCCTGTACTATGGTGGCCCCTTCCCTTTGGAATAAAAAGGTAAAGGGACCCCTGACCATTAGGTCCAGTTGTGACCGACTCTGGGGTTGCGGCGCTCATCTCGCTTCATTGGCCGAGGGAGCTGGTGTACAGCTTCCGGGTCATGTGGCCAATTCTGGGTCATTCTGGCGAACCAGAGCAGTGCACGGAAACGCCGTTTACCTTCCCACCAGAGCGGTACCTATTTATCTACTTGCACTTTGACGTGCTTTCGAACTGCTAGGTTGGCAGGAGCAGGGACCAAGCAACGAGAGCTCACTCCGTCGCGGGGATTCGAACTGCCAACCTTCTGATCGGCAAGTCCTAGGCTCTGTAGTTTAACCCATAGCGCCACCCGCGTCCCTTTGGAATACCCTCCCCTTAAAAAGGCACCATATCTATTGCCTCTCCAGTGCCTACAGAATACTTTCCTCTTTCAACAAGCCTTTTAAGTAGAGATCTTTCCCAGTCTGCACCTGTATTGGAAATGTTTTTCAATATGTTTTTACTGTTTTATCTCTTGTTGTTTACCCTCCTGAGCACCTCTGGGAAGGGTGGAATATAAATTTAGTAAAATATTATTTGCATTAAAGGAAATTAAGTAGCTTTATTCCACCAGAAATGATGAAATGGGCACACAGGCAAAGAACAAGGGCATGGAGGTATGAATCTGAAGCAAATTATTTAGTTTCTTTGAAACACATTCTAGGATTTCCAGTTCGATACAAAAGAGTGTAAACCCGAGCCTCAAGCAAATGGACAGATAAACAGAAGCTTGGCAGATACAGGAAGGCACCAGTGATGGGGACAGCGGCATGAAGCATCAGACGAAGCTTGCAGAAACTCACCAGTAAGTTGTCGCAGAGGCCATTGGCCATTTTGGCCAGGGTGTTTGCATCCAGAGGAGCCACCAGCAGAAGGTCAGCCCAGCGCCTCAGGTCAATATGCAGCACAGGATCCTCACGCTTTTTCCACAGCTGCAGGAAATACCCTCAAATCAGTGAAATCACCTGGTATGTTTAAGTACATTATAGGTACAACACACTAACAGACACTAAGCCCCACTGCATGTTGCAAGATATCTGAAGGTTATGTGGAATGTTTAGGGGCATGAGAAATCCTCACCTGGAACCACAGTTAGAAAAATACAGAACAGAGACAAAAGGACAATACGAGTGGACTCTCCGTGCCCTGATCACAACAAAAAGACTGATACGGATGAATTGGAAAAATAAAAATGAAGCTCTCTTCCACAGTATGATTGAAGACTTATACAAACTCGCAACGTGTGAACAACTTGCATATAAATGCAGACTTGCCATGGACAAATTCAATGATATTTGGAATCCATTCTTACAAATACTGTTAAGATCTGGTGAAGTACAATAAGAACTTTGTAAAGTATACAGTTTTGGGGGTTTCCCCCCTCCCCCCTTTACTTTCCCTTCTACATTGATACTATTTCGCTTTTTCTCTCTTTTATTTACGTCCCACCACGTTTAGTGCACATATAGATACTTTTTAACTTTCAATCAAGAAGAAATTTAAAAAAGAAAAAGAAAACTGCAGAACAGAGACAAGGCACCCCTCCTCCCTCTCCCTCTCCCTCTCCCTCTCCCTCTCCCTCTCTCTCTCACACACACACACACAGAGAGAGAGAGAGGGGAGAGAGAGAAAGAGAGAGAGAGAGAGAGAGAGTGTCAGTCCATGGGGGGGGGGGCACCTCTATCACGTAGAACATCCTGCGCTCTGTAAAGTTGACATGGTACAATTAGACCATACTTGTAATTCAAATAATACCAGATGTGCAATGCAAGACACTCTGCCACCTGCCCCAAAGGAAAGCAAATTCCAAAGGTGAATTCTGCAACCTGAGAAAGTTATTATCCTTTTGCAGAACACTGTCTACATAAATGGGAATTCGGGTGCAAACCAGATCCCCTTTCAGCCAAAGCTCTATCTGGGAGTTCAGATCCACTGCATGCAAAGAATCACATGAGGGAGGCAGCACGCTAGCGCCAACCCCTCCAAGAGTCGGAGGGCTAAATGTAAGGAGACTGCCCTACCGGTAGAGGATTCTCAGGTGATTTGCAACTCTGAACTTCCAGGCTCCTCAATCATGCAGGGAATCTCCACACACGGAAAGGGTTGCCCGCTGCAAAGGGATGTCCTTTCAATATGGGAAGATGCTTAAACCCAAGAAAAGGATGCAATCAAGAGCGTAGAGCCAACGGGCTCCTCTCCTCTCTCTCCCTCATCATGCGAGGCTTGAACACCTGAAGACGCAAGCAACACTTTGCTCTTTACAAGAGCAAAGGTGTGCAGGCAAGACACTCGCAACCCTGCAAAGGCTGGCATGAAGTGTGGCAAGGAGCTTCTGAGCAGCCTTTTGGGGGTGGGCAGGAATGAATTGACAGCCTCGTTTTCTCTACTTCCCTCCACACTCTTAAAAAAACCAGTATGCTTCATTTCTTAAAAAGGATGCTGATTTGGGAGAGGTGCTGTAGAGCATGTGCTTTGCCCTACACATGCTGACATCTCCAGGTACGACTGGGAGAGAACCCTGCTTGAAATCTTGCAGAGCTGCTGGCGGTCAGAGTAGGCAATACAGTGGTGCCCCACAAGACGAATGCCTCGCAAGATGAAAAACTCGCTAGACGAAAGGGTTTTCCGTTTTTTGAGTCGTTCCGCAAGACAAATTTCCCTATGGGCTTGCTTCACAAGACGAAATGTCTTGCGAGTTCTTGCGAGTTTGTTTCCTTTTTCTTAAAGCCGCTAAGCCGTTAATAGCCGCTAAGCCGTTAATAGCCACTAAGCCGCTAAGCCGTTAATAGCCACTAAGCCGCTAAGCCGCTAATAGCCACTAAGCCGCTAATAGCCATGCTTCACAAGACGAAAAAACCGCAAGACGAAGAGACTCGCGGAACGGATTAATTTCGTCTTGCGAGGCACCACTGTACTAAGTTAAATGGAGACCAGTGGTCTGACTCAGTATAGGACAGCTTTCTATGTTCCTAACTGAAAAGTTAAGTGGCATTGAACACCAACCTGCCATTCATCAGAATCGCTGTAGAGGGTCACAGGGACCTCCTGGGGGTTATAGAAGTGCTTTGCATTCTCGGTAGTCACCACCCGCACTTCCACCTGGAAAGAAAAAAACAGGGGTTGGGAAAGCACGGAGAAGGAGGAAAGAAAAGAAGCCATTAATAATAATAATAATAATAATTAATTTATTTATTTATACATACATACATACATACATACATACATACCCTCCCCAGCCACTCTGGGCAGCTTCCCCCCCAAAAAATTAAAATACTGTAATAGATCAAACATTAAAAGCTTCCCTAAATAGGGCTGCCTTCAGATGTCTTCTAAAAGTCTGGTAGTGGTTGTTCTCTTTGACATCTGATGGGAGGGCGTTCCACAGGGAGGGCACCACTACCGAGAAGGCCCTCTGCCTGGTTCCCTGTAACTTGGCTTCTCGCAGTGAGGGAACCGCCAGAAGGCCCTCGGTGCTGGACCTCTGTGTCCGGGTAGAACGATGGGGGTGGAGACACTCCTTCAGGTATACTGGACCAAGGCCGTTTAGATAAAGAGTTTAACTCTTTTGAAACTTAAGTCTTATTTGTACTCCACTGAGCTAGTGGAAGTGTAGTCAGATAGGGCCACAGAACCAGATTCCAAGCGAAACACACCTGAAAAGTTAATTCCCATCAGCCTTGCAATTAAGCACTCGCCTGACTAGGTAGGTGAAAAGGAACTGGCATTCAGGTGAGGGAGCAGGCTGAAGGAGGAGCAATGGAGCAGCACCCCAACCCTCCCTCTGTGCACAGCAAAGAACTGCAAAGGGCTGCTGACGAAGGGATGGCATTCTCCATGCCTCTTCAGACAGTCCCCAGCAGACGAGAACATTTCTCTGCAGGCTAAATCACTTCTGTGGACTTGGTTCCAAGGCGGATTGAAATCACGGCGGGCCAGGGTTAGAGAACCATTTTCATGTCTTCTGGGGGCCACGTGCCAGTAGCGAGGAAGGCCAGCGGTGAAAATAGGCACAGAGACAAGTGTGAGTGTTACATTCGTACAACAGATTGGCTTTATCTTTGTAAGGTAGGCTAGTCTCAACATATTCCATCTAATACCCAGACAAGCAAGAAGCGTGAACAGAGTTTGAGGGCACATTCCAGCAGTAAAGGAGGGTGAAAAGCAAGGCCAGAAAGGAAGGTGGCTGAGGAAAGTGTTTGGTAGGGAGAGTCCTAGAAGCCCAACAGAGATGTCTGGAGGGCAGGATTTGGCCCCTGGGCTGAGGTTCCCCCTGTAGACAAATGGCAAATATGTATAAGCTTGTGACCATGACAGAAATGTAGCACAAAAGAATAACATGTCCATGAAAGATAAAAGAGAAGTGTATGAAAGACTACACTGTACTAAAGCATAAGGTGAATATGACTAATATATACAATTATTAATGCATAGGATTGCATAATACTGAAAGAACAGGGAATTGAGGGACAGGATAGCACAGTATATTTTCCAAAAACAGCAACATCCTTCATTACCACCTCCTATACTGGTACAGAATCTTTCTAAGGCTCCCACGGTTACTTGGGAGTAAGTCCCAATAAGGTGCATGAGACTTATTTCTCTGAGTATGCATGTATAACATCACACTATAAATTCCTAGTTGTTCTAACAGCCCGCCATTTTAACATAAATATCAAGAGAAATGTATAGCTACCATTCAAGAGCAGACCTAAAGAAGAAGGAGAAAGAGTCATGTGGGTCTCAGGTAAGAAGTAGTGAAACACAGAAGAGGTCCTCTGGTGAAAACTAGTAAAAATCTGAAAACAGGTCTCATTCCAAAGAATCAGAAGGAAATGGAATGCCAAAAAGGAAGCAATAAGGACGGAAGAAAAAGAAGAAACAAAACATTCAGTCCTAGAAAACAGAAGCTTTCCAAGAACTACTCCAGCGTAAACCTTACCCGGGGCATGTATAATAAGCAAGAGGGGAAATCAAAACTTGAAGCCCCTTTCTCCTCTGTAAGAGAAATGGCAAAAAACTGGAGTCCAGAAAAGACCCTCCCCACAATTGCCTTAAAAACAAAGTGAGATCTGGTGAATAAATGACTTCTCCTTTTCTATACTTCCCTTTGTCAATCTTTCTCAACCCTCCCATAAGTCACTTTCCCAATTAAAACTCATTTCTGTATAGATCAGAGTTGGGGAAGCTGTGGCTGGACTCCAACTCCCATCAGCCCCAACGAGCACAGCCAATGATCAGGGATGATGAGAGTTGCAGTCCAACATCTACAGCTCAATTGCCAGGCTATGAAAATTTTGCAACATCATTTAGACCAGCCTTCTCCACCCTCCGGCCCTTCGGGCGCTGCTGGACTAGAACCCCCACCAATCCCAGACAGCAAGATCAATGGCCAGGAATGAGAGGAGTTGTTACTCAACAGTATCTGGAGACCACAGGGCTGGGGGAAAACTGAATTGGACAAGTTTCCCTTTGTTTGCTTAAAGCAGGGAGACCGGCACATTATAGGTGTCTTATCAGGGAAACATTCCAGGCCAAAGCCATGAAGATTTCCCAGCTGCTGCCGACCAAAGAGAATGTACAATATTGCTGTTGTTGTTCATCCTAGTCCATTATTTAATGGCGGAACAGGGCCAATTAAAGCCATTAATCAGCCTCCCTTGCATTCCAGCATCAAGGTCGAGGGAGGCTCAGTTCTGCTATCCAAGATGGAATGTAATCATGACTGTTGATGAGCAACATTCTGGTTCAGAATAAACTCTGGATGAAGGAAGCCTTTTTTCTTCCCAGTATGCCAGAATCCTAAGAACCAGATGGACTTTCTTAGACTGCAATCCAAGATACAAATAGTCTTTATATTGTGTACAGAGAGAGAGAGAAAGAAAGAAAAGCACCCTCTGGATTGCAAAACAAGGAGTCTGATGGCACATTAAGG